CCAGTATTTGAACTTGATCAAGCCAAGTTTCTTGAGTCTCAGTTTTCTATCAATGGGGGATGAGTATAACTACTCATATATCAAAGCCTGACCTCAGAGCCTGGCAGGTAGAGCTGCTTCATAAGAGCTGCTTCATTGCCCTCTCCTTTATCTGAGGCCAGTGGTTCCACAACTGACTGCATTTTAGATCATTTGGAAAGCTCTAAAACAAAACAAAACCCCACAGTGTCTGTGTCCCATCCTAAACCAAATAAATGAGAACATTTCATTTATTTGGAGATGGAACTGAGGTATAAATATTTTTTCAAAGCATCAGGTGATTCTATTGTCTAACCAGGGTTGAAAACCCACACCCTTAAGGAATATGAAAACAGATAAAATGCTATTTGATTATACATTATTTAAAATAAAATTTTCATAATATAAAAAGCTTTCAAAAGTAGTATGACTAGCTAGCTATTCATGGGTGCAGAGCTTTAAGAAAGGTTTATGAATAAATTACAGACAGAGTCAATAAGTAGTACTGGATACTCTCAGGGACTGAAGGCTGCTCCCACAAGCAGACTGAAGATAAGCTCAGTGATGCTGCCCTGTGGAAAGAACAGGCTCAGAACGCCCAGTATTGTTTATAGAGAAGACTGACTTCCTGTTCTGTGCTGTGTCTCCCCACCCACACTGCCCCCAGAATTCTACGTTGATTTCCTAACTCCCAGGACCTTAGCATGTGACTATGTTTGGAGATAGGGTCTTAGCAGACACAATTAGTTCAAAAGACGTCATTATGGGGGACTCTAATCCTATGTGACTGGTATCCTTAGAAGAAGAAATTTGAACACAGAACTAGAAGGGAGATAATGTGAAGGTCCAGAAGATGGCCATCTACAAGTCAGAGAAAGAGGCCTGGAATAGATCCTTCCCTTACAGCCTTCAAAGGAGCCAACCCTGCTAACACCTTGATCTCAGACTTTCAGTCTCCATGACTAGGAGAAAAAGAAATGTCTGTGGTTAAGCCATCCAGCCTGTGGCATTTTTAATGTGAAAACTAAAGCATCAGGTGGGTATTTGGTAAGAGAAAAAGACACCTTGCCCCATTTTATCAAGAAATAGAGGGAAGATGGGTATTTGTTTATAAGGTCCTTGAAGCTGAGTAATTTGACATTATTGGAAAGGTAATTTCAAATATGAGAGAAGACTCCGGGAGAGGTGTATCAGCCTTCTGAATGAGCTGCCCTTCCTCACAGCTTCTGCTATCCTTTCTTTACAGGGCTGCCCTGCTCTCCCCTGCTGCCCCAGTAGCTTGGTCC